CTTTCCCTAGCTTCACTTCTCTAAGAGCCATAGAGCCCAAGCTAATGGTCTCTTCTTGGTCCTACAAGTTATTTTTGGACCTGCTTGAGAACTTGCTCTCTGAAATACTGAACAGACACAAGAATGCGGAAGAGTTAATGAAAAAGAAAAGAGCTGCATAAGTGACAACAGAGGGGAAGAAGTGGGGAGCTGAACCCAAGACACGATTCAAGGCTTTAACACCTAGAGATTGTCACTTTCAATGGCCTTTTGATACTAAAGCCTTAGTCTGTGTTAAAAGGATTGAGATGAGGATGTTGATGAAAATGATGGAGAGAGCTGCTTATATTTATTGCACATTACCATATAGAAGACAGTATTATAAGTTATTTAAATCTATTAACTCATGGGGATGGATCACGGAGTTGACTCTTTTAGGGGTCCTGTCTTTCTCTCTCATAGAGGAAATGAGTAAACTTAAAACAATTTTTAAAATATGATAATTCTGAAACCTAAAGGATGGTTAAATAAATCCTAATATGGCTATTCATTTGATATTTAACCATAACTTCCAAAATGCTCTTCTCGTACATTTCTTCTATGCTTTGAGCCTATCTAATCTTCTCATTAAAAAGCATATATTGTAATATTAAAAAATAGAAGTGTTGAAACAAAATTCAGCATTCTTTCAATCTACAACTATTTTTCAGTTAGCTACTGCTAATCTTTCTAGACTTTTAAACACATACACATCTAAAAATCCTTTATTAAATGACAATTATAGGATTATGTTACCTATATTCATCTATAACTTTTTAAATTTTTATTTTACTATGAATATGTCCCCATTTCATGCTATTCAAAACATGTACATTTGCAATAAATTCTATTCTTTTTCTGCTTTTCTTAGTAATCAAATACTATTTCTTGAAAATGTAATTATATTTGAATATTAAGGATTTATAGTTCATTTTAAAACACTTAAACACATCTTTCTGTGTGGTAAGTTTTTCAATGTCAGTAGTTTAAGACCTGACAAGAAGATAAAAATCAACTAGTATTGGCCCTGCCTTATAGGGCTTGGAAAGTATGACAACCACAAATGCAGAGACAGTAGGGTCAGCGGAGTGAATTAGGGAAAAAGTTAGAATCTAAAGTGAAATTTAACCTCTTTTAAAAAGAGAATACCTGGATATATATTAATGGACACTTGTGCCTCAAAATCTGAAGAAACATCATTGCCATTATTATTACATATGTTGTATATTCTGAGCAGGAAATAATACTCAGATTTCTATGCTTTGGATATCTTAGCATTAAACATTGCAAAGTTCTATTCACTATTCACCATATACCAAAGTTATTTCTTCAGGCAGTAGTAACATGAAAAAGAAAACCCCCTGCAAATTATACCTCACATGTGACATCTTTTATTTTATGCATTTATTTTATTTATTTTTTTAATTTTATCTAGGTATTCATATATTTTAATTTAGAATTATGAGCACTAATATCTGATTTTAAAAATACCTATATTTAATTATATAAAGAGAAAAGAAAGAGGATGAGCAGAAAAATATATGACATTAATAATAGAGTTTATCACTATGAAGTAGGGTTAGAAAGACTTATTTCTTTAAATTTTTAAATGTTCTTTACAAATTATCTACCATTTATTCATTCATTCAATAATTAGCCTTTGAGCATCTACTATGAGCCAGAGATACATCAGCGATCAAAACAAATAAATGTGTGTTACATATAAAATCAGAAAAGGCAATAAACATGATTAGAATTAATAGCATCATTTGTTGAATCCTAAGCAATGTATACAACTAATGGGGTGAAATAGAGCATTTCTTCTGGATGTAAATAGACAAATGGTTTTTGGTCCTAGAAAATCACTTAGCTTCTCTGTGATATAAATTTTGTTTTTTTCTCTTAAAGATGCAGGCTTTGAGATAACAACTTGATAACTACTCTCTAGAGTCTAAGACAGACTACAGAAACTTTGAGGAGAAAAAACACCACCACCAAGCAGAGAAGGTCAAAGATTCCACCCAGGATACCCTGAAACTCAGGGCAGCTGTTGACACACTTTCTGACCTGAACATGGATTTATTGAATCCAAAATGAAATTTTATATGTATTCTGCCTAAAATTACTCAGAATACTATAAGCAGCAGGGAATGATGGTGAATTGTGGAGAGTGGTGGAAGGTAACAGAATGAGGTTGCTTCAAACTTTAGCTAATAGGGATTACAGATAACTTTTAAAAGTGCTCTGGATAAATGTTGTCAAGTCAAAAAATGTATCTGTGATAGTAAAGAGTACACAAGACAGTCCCAATTTTGGATGAGTTTTCTACTTGAGGCAGTGATGCACCTTTTTTTTTCTTTTCTTTCTTTTTTTTGTGAGGGAAATGGGAGAGATAATTTTACTACAGGACACATGTACTCACCAGAGAGGCAGAGAGATAGAAAGTGAGAAATCACCGCCCCCCCCCCCACACACACACACCCCAGGAGAGATGGCCATGCTACAATCTCTTTTCCTCCACTGCCCTTTCAGGATTTTGGGTATGCACACCCATGCACGCCCAGCATGAGTTTTAAACCAGAGGGTCTGGAACTCAAATCATGGTTAACTACGTAGGAGTCCAGTGACATAACCATTATGCCATCTGCTAGTCCCCAGTGATGCTTTTTTTTTTTTTTGAGAGTTTTTCGCTACAGGGCATGTGCACTCTCCAGAAAGACAGAGAGAGACAGAGAGACAGAAAGTGAGAAATCACCCCCTTCAGGAGGGATGGCCGTACCACAATCCCTTCTCCTCCATTCTCCTCTCAGAATTTTGGGCACACACGCACATGTGCCCGGTGTGAGTTTAAGCCACTAGGTCCGGACTTAAACCTCAGTTGACTACATGGGAGTCCAGCGACATATCCATTATGCTAACTACTGGTCCCCCCAGTGATGCTTTTTTTAGGATTGATTTATCCAACTAATGTTCATTGCATACCTATTGCATGCCAGGCACATTCCAGGTACTGGGGAAGAAAGGTGAGCTAGGCAAATGGATTCCCTCCCTCTTTCTAATGAGGCAGTCTGAAAACACAGTAGTCTAATATATATTTTAGGTACTGGTAAATTCTATGAAAACAAGAAGAGGTAGAGAATGGTGAGAAAGAGGTCCATTTTAGGTAGGCAGTTAGGAAAGCACTGCTTGAGGACATGAGCAAAACTCGGGATGAAGTAAGGTAACTAACTGTCATGAGATGATGAGGAAAGAGGCAGCATTCCAGGCAGAGAGAGGAAAAGGCCAGGGCAGAAGCCATACAGGTGACATGAGATGGATGGGCAGGGCCAGCAGGGAGAATACAAAGTTGTGGAGGTTGGAAGCATAGGGCCAGTGGGTGAAGTTAGACCATTAGGCAGGAGGTAAATTACAATGAGAAGCTTGGTTGTAAGGATGATGGAAAAACACTGAAGGCTTTCGAGCAGGAAAGAATTGTGATTTTTGTTTTGAAAGATAATTCTGTCTGCTCTATTGAGAGGAGGCTGAAGGGGCTAAGAGTGGAAGCAAGACCTCTATATAGTTGAGGCAAGTGTTTGAGAAGAGAAAGTATGTAGAGGAAAAGTGGAATTAGTTGCCTATAAAGGGAGAGGAATGATGCTTTTGGCCAAATGGAACATCTTTGGTTTCAGATACTCATTTGTGGTGCTTTGCAAACAGCAGAATGTTCAATAAATGCTGATGAATCAACTATGTAAAATACTGTACCTGTGCTGCTGTAGAAAGCTAGTCCGCTCGATGCACTGAACTCCTCAATGAAGAACTGAGAAAGGGAAATATGCTCTTCAGTATTCAATGACTTGTTCCCGTGTTTCCAGTATAGCATTAGATCCTCATCATTGTAGGCATCTAAAACAAGAAAATACCATTCTTCTGGTTGGAATGAACTCTTGTAAGCTCCATGTGGTCTATAACTATGTTTTATACAGCTCTTTATCCCCAGTGGCTGGTCCACTGACATCTATGTACCTATTGGTGCTGACAAATATGTTTGCCAATAGACTGTCTATATTAATACCTTGTAAAAGAAAAAAAAAATCTAAAAACTAGATCCTGATAACTGATGTAGTGTGGAATATTTTTGTTTTTATTTTTACTTTTTTTTGTCACAGAATGAGTTAAAACTCTCCAAATACTTGCTTTCATAGCTGTGTGTATTCTCTTACACTGTTTGGGCCAGACTCAAAGTTGCAGGGTTGACTTTGGGCCACTAGTATCTCTTAACTCTGTAGTTATCTTGGATGAAATTGCAAAATGGACTTAGATTATAACTTTTTTTCTAAAATCATAGTGGTATACAAAGAATTTGGGGAGCAGCTTCTGTATGTGATACCTCCATTGTGATTCCCAGCATTTTAGACACATTTTGAAAAATTGATGTCACTTTTTAAGATATCAAGAGACCAGCACTTAGCATGGTAGCTAAGGCCCTGGAGTCTCACAAGGCCACCTGCAGTTAGAGTCTCAGACCTGATGACTTACTTCCTGGTTTGCCCCCAACATCCCCTCATCTCTCTCTGGTGGATGTATGTGGCCTATAACAAATTAAAAATAATATTAACAACTGTAGATACCAGAGATAGTGTGAGAAGAGGGTGGGAAAGAACAGAGGGTCAGAAATAGGGTAAAAAAAATACTAGAAACTAGAAATGGAAAATGTTTTATAGTAACATGCATGATTAAGCCACTATGCAGTATTATTCTGGATGGGAAATCACATTCTGTATGCCATGATGATGCTTAGGGAATGAATGTAAATTAAATAAAAAAAAAGGTTCAGCAAAAAAAATAAAAACAACTAAAACCGTTTTTCTTGCAATTAAAAAAATGCATTAAAAATACCTATTCGATGACTGCAATAAGATATACAGCCCCAGCTAGGTGCTACTTTATAGGATGTTCATTCTACTCACTGAGGCTTTTGCCTAAAGTTAGACTTGTGTTCATGGAAATGTATATATCAGCTGTGCTTGCTATGAAAATATTGAGATTAATTAAGATCTTTAGTGACTCAATAAAATGTGGGGGAAAAAAAGTATAGAAAGCAAATATTGATACCAGAGACAGTGTGGTAGGAAGGTGGGAGATGGCAGAGGGTGAGGAGGGAATCAAGGATGGGGAAAAAAAGCAAAACATACAGGAAACAAGAAATGGAAAATTAATTCTTGATGATAACATGTATGTTGATATGCTTGATTGAGCCAATATACAGTGTACTCTGGATAGAAAATCTCATTTTGCATGCTGTAATGATGTACAGTGAATGAATGTAAATCAATAAATTTAAATAAAAAATAATAATAAGTAAAATTGAGTAAATAATTTTAAAAAGATGTCAAATCAAAAATAGCTGGTAGGTCAAAGGGATCGGTGTGAAGTTGGCAGAGACTCCTTTTAATAGGACTTTGTTGAGTTTTTCTGGGAAACCCAAGTATGGAGGATTGTGGCTCATCTGGGAACATGAATTCTGGAGCCTTCTAAATGTGGACTGTGTCTGTCTATGTAACAACATTAGCAGAAATACACCTTTTCAGGGAGCTGCTCCTTTACAACCATTGTGAAAATTGCAGAATATTTAACTGTCAAAACAATTCTCTCCCTGAATCTTTCCACTTAAGAAACAAACTATTATCATCCTTCACAAACAACAAAATCATTAAAAAAATCAACAGAAAGAGCTGGCCCAATAGTGCAGTGGAACTCCTGTGCAGAGGGGGCCAGATCCTATATGGCAGATCATGGTTTGAGACCTGGCTTTAGTGTCTTAAAAACACACTAGGCTGTGTACACACATGCCCAGGATCCTGATGGGATAGAGAAGTGGAAGAAAGGGAATTGCTTATGACCAGGCCCCATTGGAAGGCTCTGTCTCTCTCTTTCTCTCTGGCTAGTACATACACACTCTGATAACAAAACAGAAAAAGAAAATAATGCTCACACTGTTCTGGATAAATATGTCAAGCTTTTACACTGCTCGTTGAGAGTGTGCTCAAGAGCATCACATATATGCAAGTATGTGATGTGCTCAGATAATATATATTCACTCCACCAGAAAGTAAGACTTACAGCTTTCTAGTTCAAGAGAACAGTTTTGAGTGTCGAGAGGAAACCTGCTAAAATCCATGAAGCACATGGCTGAAACTGTTATCCTATAAAAAGAATGAGAAAAAGAAAACTGCAGATCATTTAACCGTATGGCCAAATAAGCTCTGAACATTATAGCTTTCTTATTGTTTGCTGTTTTGTGTGCTTTTCAAGAATAATACAAAATAGGTGTGACTATCTTCTGCTTGAATAATGTACAAAAAAGCCAATTCATAAGGGTGGATGATTTGCGTAAGACACAGAGTTAATTAGTAAATTCCAGCTCCCATTATGACTTCTGATCTTAACATTTTTCAATCAGACTCCTTCTGCATTTACTAGCTCTCATGTCTTCAGAAAAACACACTTCAAACTGAAAAGACTTATAAATATATTTCAATATTTTCTGTTGTTTTTTGAAGAGACAGACTTAAATTGTTTCTAGTAATAAAGGATTGGGATGCTGGTAATAAAAACCTACGAGTAAAGGTTTCCTTTGTAAAGCACGTTTACCTGAGGAGATTATCTCTCATAGTGAAGGAAAAGCCTGAAGCTCTTTTAGTTATGGATCTATAGGCACAGCACAATGCATAATTCAGGTGCTGCTAAGTCAAAGGCCTTGCATACTGATGAGGACTGTCTTTTTCAAATTATGTATCCTCCTAGGTTTTCCTGGCTTCAGGCAGAGGCCATTGTACTATGATCTTACCTCAAAGCAGAAACTTTGGTACACACAATAGCAGATCAGAGGTCCATAAAAGGCCTTTGAGCAAGTATGCCAAAAACAAAGGCAACAGATGCTCCTACCCAAGGCGCTCCTGATTTAATCAGAAGAGTGGAACCATTTTATCTTCTGTGGGCTGAATTCTATTGTTAGTAGTTATGCAGTAAAACACCAAGTGATAGAAGTATGTAGATGACTTTGTGTCATAAAACATATTTGTTTGGCCATATTCCTAGTACTTTAAAGCTGGAGGTACCTTTGATGTCTTTCAATCCACCTCCTTCATAAAACACCTGAAGAAACTGACAACCAAAAGGGTCAGGTGACTAGGTGGTGTCAGAACCAAGTCTGGAACCAGAAAATCTGGTTATGAACTCAGACTGGACCTGTTGTTGGCTGAAATCCCCTTCTGACAAAAATTTTGAGTACTTTTGTGGGCATCTCCAAGATCACCCTCAGGATCAACAATTGACTAGAAGGATTCATCGAATGCAATAAAGCTGTTATACTCATGTTTGAAAGGTATAGATTAAAATCAACAAAGGAAAGGGAGCATAGGGCCAGGGCCTTTGGAGATCAGGAGCAAATTTTTGTTGTATTCTTTGAATGGAGTTCTGTGGACAGTGTTAGTTTACTCAACAATAATGAGTGACAATACTCAGAGAATATTGACAGTCTGAGGAGGTCATCCAAACCTTAGTGTCCAAAGTATTTTTTTTAAATAATTATTTTATTTAACTTCATTTATTTATTTTATTTTGACTGGTGGGGGAGAGAGAAAGAGACAGACAGACAGAAAGTGAAAAAGCAAGCTGCCAGGTCCAGGACTTGAATTGCAGTTGGCTATATGGGAGTTCAGTACCCTTAACTACCATATGCCACCTGCTGGCCCCAGTGTCCGAAGTTTTAATTGACAGCCAATCACAGTCTTGTCTGACCACCCATTGGCATACCTAGTTTTTTCTGTATCCTCCAGTGGTTAAACTGATAATAAGTGGCAAGGCCCCCATTGTGGAGAGTGGTTAATCTGAGCAAACATGGTGACCTTTAGACACATGCAGAGATGCAGTTCCATGGGCTGTCATTTGTATGGCAATTAAAGTAATTTAAATATGAATACACTAGCTGCCTGAAACTGCAGAGCAGTATCAGTTTTAAGGAGGCCACATGTGTTTATCAGATTGGCCCCAAAAGATCAGAGAAACTACATGGCACCAGTTGTCTTCACATCTTCAGCCAACTAACTTCAAAAAACAACTGGCTTTGCCTTCCACTTCCTCTTCTATCATTTTTTGCCCTTTAAAAGAATAAACCTGAGATTGGTTCATGGTCACAGCTATCTTCATCACAGAAGTCAGGCCCATGTGATCCTCACTTTTCTATATTTGTGTGTCTTTGTGTTTTATTTTTATGTTCATTTCTAATCCACAGCCCTCCTGCTCAGAAAAATGCATCTTGCTGAGCAAGTCCTGGCACCCCACTATAAATCACATCATTAACACACACCATCTGGCATGCCCCAAGATCTCCAGTGAAACAAATACCTGCTAGGAGGCAGGCTATTCCAAAGGAATAGAGTTTGCCTCCCAAGAGCCTGGCAAGGGCCAAGTCACTCTTTAGAAAAAGAAGGGTAAGGGAAAGCCACTATGTTAATACCTCAGTGAACACCAAAATAAGCTCAAAGCAGTTGATTCTGAAGGAAACCAACATACATCTCCCCAAAATATTTAGGATCGTTGAGTTGAAAACACTGAAAACATAGGGGACTCTTTTTCTTTTCCTCTGCTGGTGTGATGGCAGGACAAAGATACACAAGACAAAAGAGCCACCTATCTTCCCTTGCCTCTCTCTATCTAATGAAGAGATGCAGCTCCTCATCAGCTATCACCTCAGACATGTGCCAGCAGGGTCAGAGGAATCTGTGAGAAGAGTTTTCTTCCCACATTTTCCTAACTTTTAGAAACCTAGCACTACTTTACTTTTTGTATTGTTGTTTCCCTAAAATTTATGGTTATCCATTAGATATGCTAACTTTGTTGTGGTTTTGAGATACTTGAAGTTTCTCCAGTATGATGTGCATTGTACATGTTAAAATAAACTTGTTTTTTTCCTTTTTAGCCTGTCTTTTATTAACAGGAATCTGTCCCAGCTAGAAACTTAGGAGGGTTAAGGGAAAAAATTATATTTTCTCCTCTTCAGTGTGTGGCCAGATATTATTATTCTACTTTCATTCCTAGTGACTTCAGTACTTACAAGTCCTTGGTACTTCTTATTTAAAAGTCTTATTTAAAATAGTCATTTTCCAGGCTGGCCCTTGCCTAGTGGTTAAAGGGAACTGGATAACACATAGTCATGTGCTGTTCTAATCCCAGGCACAGTGGCTTAGAAAACATGCCAGGTATAAGTGTATGCATGCCCCAAATTTCAACAGGATGGACAAATGGAGGAGAAGGAATCATGGCAGAACTATGCCTCATAGAGGAAGAGAGTTTGTTTTTCCCTCTCTGTCTCTTTGCCCTCTGGTAATAATAATAAAAAAGGTACTTTATTTAATAGCAAACTTAAAAAACATTGACAGCTTTTATGAAATTGCTGACAACAGTTCCTTTGTACTAAAGTGAGAAAAGTATTTTTTATGAGCAGAAATGAAACTGTACAATTTCCTGTTGCTGCTCTAACAAAACCATAAATTTGCTGGTTTAAAACAACATAAATTCATTCTCTCACTGTACTGGAGACCAGGAGTCTGAAACTAGTATTACTGGGCCGATACCAAAGTATCCACTTGCCCTGCTGCCTTAAATTTTCTGAGAATACAGCTTTTGATGGCTGTCAGCATTCCTTGGCTTGTAGTCACATTGCCTTTTCCTTTTCTGTATGTATTAAATATTCCTTTACCTTTATAGCATAAGGATATTTAATAATTCAATTTAAATCTTAAGCAGATAATTCAGGATAATTTTCTTATGTCAAGATCTTTAACTTGCTCAGATCTGCAAGAATCCTTTTTTGCTATGTACGGTAATATTACAGGTTTCAGGGATCAGGACATAGATGTCTTTGGGGTGTCATTTTCTTCAGCCTAATATAGAATATTTCTGAAATTTCTAACACTTTAAAAAACAAAAATTTTTTTGTTTACCAAATATGTTTAGTATTATCTGTTATAAACCACTCAGTATGCATAGCATCATTCAGCCAAAAGAAAAGTATAGAACATTAAAGATTAAGGGCTGTTATAGCATAGTGTTAGGACAGATGTTTTAAAATTAAAAAAAAAAGAAAAAGGAAGGAGTAAATTACTGGTCACTTGGAATGATGATTCTGCCTTCTCATAAAAATGGAATATATAACTAAGGAATTATTTAGGTACTCCAAGGTTTTTTGTTTGTTTGTTTCCTGCAAGAGGGTGCATACACTCACCAGAAAGACAGATAGAGAGACAGAAAGCAAGAAATAACCCCCCAGAGGAGATTGACATGCTGCAATCCCTTCTTCTCCATTCTCCTCTTGGTATTGTGGGCATACATGCACACGCACTTGGCGTGAGTTTAAGCCACCGGATCCAGGACTCAAACCATGGTTGACTACATGGGAGTCTAGCAACATAGCCATTATGCCAAATGCTGGTCCTGGTACCCCAAGATTTTAAAACTGCTTGGTGAGATGCAAAGGTGGAATAGAGTCAGTGAGGAGAAAAGCAGGCTCTGTGTCTATAAAATTGTCTCCTGGACTTTTAAGGATTGTTATATTTCAACTCTACTCTATTTTTCCAATCAATATTTACCCAGAGTGGGTATTATTAGAATAAAAAACTATTCTTTAAAATCTGGATGTTAGAACTAGGGAAAATCACATCATTTGCTTGCATCCCAACCTCCTCCATCACTAAGCAGACAGTAGTGTTGTGAATTGAGTCTGAAGTTAGACTCACTAGTTTTGGTGCACACAGCTGCAGTACAAAGATGTCAAGGGTTACAGACAGCTCTCCTTACCTGACACTGAAGAGGACGTTTCCATCAGGGTGCACTCGCAGCATGATGTTCTCCATGGTTGTATCATGGATGAAGGAGCTTTTAGAATGGACAAAAAAGACATCAGGTACCCAAATCTTTTTGATCAATCTATTATCAAACGTCATGCTTTTGTTTGTAGTGCTAGGAAAGGAGAGCCTCTCATCTTTCCAGTAATGCCTGAGATAAAAAGTCATTGTAAAGTCCTAGGCAGAGAAAAAGAGAGACTAATCAGAACCAGTAGAGATATGGTTCAGGATGACCATGTCAATACTATTAGTCCCAGGACTGATTGCAAGGGTGTTAATGACTTTCAAGGGAATGGCTGATACTTTATTTTCAGATAGATACAAGGAACTTAAGTTTTTGAGTTTCTCCTTCACTCTGATGAATATTGAGAGACCTGGGAGTTATCAAGTATTCAAGTTGGGGGAATAAAAGCCAGATTATACGTGATAAGAATTGCTTCCACTCAGTATGCATAGCATCATTCAGCCAAAAGAAAAGTATAGAACATTAAAGATTAAGGGCTGTTATAGCATAGTGTTAGGACAGATGTTTTAAAATTAAAAAAAAAAGAAAAAGGAAGGAGTAAATTACTGGTCACTTGGAATGATGATTCTGCCTTCTCATAAAAATGGAATATATAACTAAGGAATTATTTAGGTACTCCAAGGTTTTTTGTTTGTTTGTTTCCTGCAAGAGGGTGCATACACTCACCAGAAAGACAGATAGAGAGACAGAAAGCAAGAAATAACCCCCCAGAGGAGATTGACATGCTGCAATCCCTTCTTCTCCATTCTCCTCTTGGTATTGTGGGCATACATGCACACGCACTTGGCGTGAGTTTAAGCCACCGGATCCAGGACTCAAACCATGGTTGACTACATGGGAGTCTAGCAACATAGCCATTATGCCAAATGCTGGTCCTGGTACCCCAAGATTTTAAAACTGCTTGGTGAGATGCAAAGGTGGAATAGAGTCAGTGAGGAGAAAAGCAGGCTCTGTGTCTATAAAATTGTCTCCTGGACTTTTAAGGATTGTTATATTTCAACTCTACTCTATTTTTCCAATCAATATTTACCCAGAGTGGGTATTATTAGAATAAAAAACTATTCTTTAAAATCTGGATGTTAGAACTAGGGAAAATCACATCATTTGCTTGCATCCCAACCTCCTCCATCACTAAGCAGACAGTAGTGTTGTGAATTGAGTCTGAAGTTAGACTCACTAGTTTTGGTGCACACAGCTGCAGTACAAAGATGTCAAGGGTTACAGACAGCTCTCCTTACCTGACACTGAAGAGGACGTTTCCATCAGGGTGCACTCGCAGCATGATGTTCTCCATGGTTGTATCATGGATGAAGGAGCTTTTAGAATGGACAAAAAAGACATCAGGTACCCAAATCTTTTTGATCAATCTATTATCAAACGTCATGCTTTTGTTTGTAGTGCTAGGAAAGGAGAGCCTCTCATCTTTCCAGTAATGCCTGAGATAAAAAGTCATTGTAAAGTCCTAGGCAGAGAAAAAGAGAGACTAATCAGAACCAGTAGAGATATGGTTCAGGATGACCATGTCAATACTATTAGTCCCAGGACTGATTGCAAGGGTGTTAATGACTTTCAAGGGAATGGCTGATACTTTATTTTCAGATAGATACAAGGAACTTAAGTTTTTGAGTTTCTCCTTCACTCTGATGAATATTGAGAGACCTGGGAGTTATCAAGTATTCAAGTTGGGGGAATAAAAGCCAGATTATACGTGATAAGAATTGCTTCTTTCTTTTCTCTCTCTCTCTTTTTCTTTCTCTTTTTATCCTTTTGCTAGAGGGTACACATGCTCACTGGCTAGAAGCAGAGAGAGGTGAGAGAGTGAGAGAGGGAAAGTGAGAAAGTCCTCCTCTCTCCATGGGGAATGGTCATCTTGCAATCCTTTCTCCCATATTTCCCCCTCCTTTTGGGATTTTGGGCATGCACACACATATACTCAGCATGTTTTTCAAACCACTGGGTCTGGGATCCAAACACATGGTGAGCCATGCGGGATCCAGTTGCCTTAACAAACATGTTACAGGCTGGTCTATAAATGGGAAATGTTTCTATGTGAGCATCCTGGTAAATCACCTAGAGAGATCATCAAAGAGCCACTGTTTTATTTTTTTCTCTCTAAATAAATATTCACTTGTAAAATGATTTTATATTCATAATTTTGTAATATTTTTGTTAAATAAGGTCCCCCTCAAAATTGAATAAACTACAACTCTACCAAAACCTGGATACAGCATATATTAGAGCTCTTAGTGGAAAGTAAGTTGTCATGGGTTCTGGGGCAGAGACAGCAATCTTTTCCTCAGCTTGAAAGACAGAAAGAATATGATTAAATGGTGGCTCTCAACGTGTAGCGTTCAAAAGCATCACCTGCAAAGTCTATTTAAATGACACATTTCCCAGAAGTTAGTTTCCAGAGATTCTGATCCAGTGTGGGTTGGGGATTTGAATTGTTAAGGTATATTCCAATTCTAAGGACATGAGGATGAGAGGAAAAAACTGTATTAATACTATATTAGCAAGGACTCATATTAGTCACGAATTTGAGTTTTACTTGGCTCTAAGATATTACATTTAATATTTTGAACGGGAATTGTCCTAGCTTCATCCAAGTCATTGGATATGAACAATGACAATACGGTTTATTTTCACAATTGTTTCCTTCTTAATATCTTTTATTTCCCAATTATAATCAAGAGTTGGCCTCATGAATGGTTAAGCACTCTGTATTGGGAGTCAGATCTCACATGATGGACGACAGTTCAAATCCCAGTCCTATGATTTGTAAAACATGCCAGGTGCATGTGCATGTATGCCCCACATCCTGATGGGATGGAAAAACGGAGGAAAAATGATTGTGGCTTGATCTTGCCTCATTGGGGAATAATTTTTCTTTCTCTCTTTTATTCTCTCTCTCTGGCAAGCATACATGCCTTCTGGAAATAAATAAGTAAAAAGTTTCTTGAACTAGTGCATATACTAGAACCTTGGCATTTATAATCCAAACAATGAATACATATCAGTAAATTAAAAGTCACCAATTAATTATGAGCTACTTTGCTTTTCCTATGTTCAAAATAGAGGTACATTGCATTATTGTTCTGGGTTACTCTAGGATCATTAGCCTTGTGAAATTTAGGATTGGGGGAAGGCAAACAGAGTGATTCATTAATTGGCATAACACTTCTGTATAGGGAATTGTATGGGTACTGCATGTATTGTCTTAATAAACAGATGTTTAAAATAGTCTGATCTGCAGACAACGGGGCAAACACTGAGCTTATGAAGGCAATTAGCAGATACTGATTGATTTCAGTGATGCATCAACATCACCACTAGCTGGCGCTATCTATGGGATATCATTAATAGCATGCGAATAGAGTAAGACAATACTCGAAGGATCTGGACGTGAACCCAGTGTGATACAAGAGTGGGAAGATGATGAAAAACAAAAGGAACCAACATTGGGGTGTCACCGATAATTAGCGTTTTCTAACCAGCATCAGCACAGTGAACGTGGTCCAGTTTTATCAGACACCAAGTAACAGACTGGGTCATTCAAAGCCGCTTTTAATTGCTGGTGGTTCTAAAAAGCTATACACTTTTTTTTTTCTTGGAGAGGTTTTTGCTACAGGGCACGTGCGCTCGCCAGAAAGAGAGAGAGAGAGAGAGAGAGAGAGAGAGAGAGAGATAGAAAGAAAGTGAGAAATCACCCCTCAGGAGAAGGAAAAGAGATGAAAAGTGTGATTCAAACTTAAGAATAGATAGCAGTGGGACCAGCAAGTTGCATGGTGGTTTAGGGCACTAGATTCCCACATGGCTGACAGCAGTTCAAGTCTCGGACCTGGCAGCTTGCTTTCTCACTTTCCCTCTTTCTCACTCTGTCCCTCTGTGATCAAGTAAAAATAAAAATTAAGTGAAATAATTCTCTCTCTCCCAAAAAAAAAAAAAAAAAAAGAATATATAGCAGTTAGGTAAGAATAGGTAAGAAAACATTGAAACATTTTTTTCTTTTCTCTTCCTTTCCTTTTTTTTTTTTTTTTTTTTTAAGAGGTTTTGTTATAGGGTGCATGCACTTGCCACTTGCCAGAAAGACAGAGAGACAGAAAACGAGAAATCACCACCCCCATGGGGGATGGCCACATCACAATCCCTTTTCCTCCATTCTCCTCTCAAGAGCCTGTGCATGCACGCGCGTGTGCCCAGCGTGAGTTTTAGCCATTGGGTCGGGGACTTGAGCCATAGTCAACTACTTGGGAGTCCAGCGACATAGACATTACACCAACTGCTGGTCCCAAAACATTAAAATTTTGAAGCTACTGTTGTCTCCCCATATCTGCTGTTTCACTTTACACAGTTTCAGTTACCCACAGTTAACAATGCTTCAAAAATACTAAATGTAAAATTCTAGAAATGATTCGTAAGTTTTAAATTGCAAGGCCATTCTGAGTAGTGTAATGAAACCTTGGGCCATCCTGCCCTGTCCTGCCCACAACATGAATTACCTCTTTGTCCAGTGTATCCATGCTGTATATGTTACCTGCCCATCGGTCACTTATTAGCCAGCTCAATTATCAGCTAAAAAAAGACATAGTGCATATAAAGTTCAGTAGTATTTGTGATTTCATGCATCTACTCCAGGTATTGGAACATATCCCCTGCTAATAATGGGGGATGACCATTCAAAGACACTCTTTATTTGGCATAGAAAAATGAGGTAGTACCAACGTGTAGCATAGGGGTTAAGGAAGCTGGATCCCACATGGTTGAGTGTGGTTCAAATCCTGGCCTTGGCAGCTTAAAATACATGCCAAGTGTATGTGTGTTTGTGCCCCAAATCCCAACAGAATTGAAAAATGAAGAAGGAATTGTGGTGTGAGAATGCCCTTTGGGAAGTGTCTTCTCCCACTTTCTCCCTTTTTCTCTTTCTTTGTCTCTCTAATGGGTGCATGTGTCCTCTGGGAATTAAATTAAATTAAATTGAATTAATATAAATTATATTTATATTTAATTATATATATATGTGTGTGTGTATATATATATATATACACATATATATATTTAATATTGGCATCAACAAGTGGTGTAGTGCTTAGTGTGGTGGACTCCCACATAGCCAAGGCCCAGACCCACTGGCCTAAACTCACACCAGGCGTGTGTGCCCCAAATACCTAGAGGAGAATGGAGGAGAAGAGATTGTAGTGTGAAGAAAAAAAAAAAAAAGAAAAAGAATAATAAATAAAATAAATAAAAATTTAAAAAATACATAAACTAAAAAGGGCTAAAAAATCCCTCTGAGACTATGTTAGAAATTAACAGAAGAGGAGTAGATAACAAGGAAATAGGTGTGAAAATATATAGGCACTTGTGTATATAAGTTAGCTATGGTATTAATTTTTCTTTCTTAGAGTAAAATGCTGAAAAACTCTTAAAACTAATTATTGAAAACTGATTCTGGTAATTATGCCAAAAGAAGGTAGATCTAAATTGGGAATAGAGAAAAAAAGGGAAAATTATAGTAGAGGATATTAAAACCCCCAAATAACTAAAATAGTAAAATCAGGTTAAAAGGAGGGAAAAAGAACAAGATAGCAAGGCATAGAAGGTGGGATAAAAGCCAAAAAGAAAGTTGAAGATAGAAAGTGATCAGTTTCAAGTTTTATAGACTGTGGCTCACAAACGATACTCTGAAAACATGGATGCTTTTCTGTTAAAAAAAAAAGGCAGTCTGGGACCAGCAGTTAGCGTAATGGCTATGTCGCTGGACTCCCACATAGTCAACCGTGGTTCACGTCCCAGACCTGGAGGCTTAAAACTCATGCCGGGCGCATGTGCGTGCATGCCTAAGATCCCGAGAGAATGGAGGAGAAGGGATTGTGGCGTGGCCCCCCGCCCTGGGGGGTGATTTCTTGCTTTCTGTCTCTCTGTCTCTGTCTGTCTGTCTGGCGAGCACACACGCCCTAAAGCAAAAACCTCTCTCAAAAAAAAAGGCAGTTTATTCTAAATGTCTAGAAAATATAAGAGAATGAGCAAAATTTTTAAATTAAATTTTTAGATTCAGAAATTAAAAAAAAAAATACTAGTCCCTTGCTACTGGTTGTCTGCAGATAAGCAACATTAGTATCAATTGAAATTTGTTCTGTCAAGCCTGGTTCAATGATCTATCTTATTTATTTATTATTTTTAGAGAGATTTTTGCTATAAGGTGTATGTGCTCACTAGAGAGACAGAAAATGAAAAATCATGCCCTGTTGGGGGATGGCCACACTGCAATCCCTTCTCCATCCTCCTCTTGGGATTCTTGGCATACATGTACACATGCTCAGCATGAGTTTGAAGTGTCCAGGTCCAGGACTCACACCGCGGTCAACTGCATGGGAGTCCAGCAATGTAACCGTTACACCATCTGCTGGTTCCCAATTATCTATCATTTTATGAGTAAAGATGCATGGTTATGATTTCATATTGCATATATATTATGATCGTTCTTTTTATACAGTTGTTCCCAGCTCATGCTACATAGCATATGCCATGATGTTCTACAGTGCTCCCCACTGTAAAAGTATTAGAAGGAATAGACTAGCAGATGGCATAATGACTATGTTGCTCCTGAGCCTGGAGGCTTGAAACTCATGTAGGATGTGTTTGTGTGTGTGCCCAAAATTCCAAAAGGAGAAAGGACTGCAGCATGGCCATCTCCCCTGGGGTATGATTTCTCCCTTTGTGACTCTCTGTCTCTCTCTGTCTCTCCAGTGAATGCATGGGCTCTACAGTAAAAATCTCTTTTAAAAATAAAAGTATTAGAAAGAAAAAAGAAGAATAGGGGAGAAATAAGAACTATACAAAGGTAAAAAGATATTGACAGAAGATGGTAAAGGAACCACAGTTCTGTTACTGAGCAAAGTAAGAAAGGATCATTAAATTTATTTATTTAAACACCAGTGATTATGACACTATTGAGTTTCTATCCTTTTAGAAAAAGACCAATATTCCACAGAGAAACTTACCATGTTAACCTCTGAAATGCTGTCAATGCTTTCAACGTGGACATCTATGCCTACTGGAACGGGTGACCCTTCAGGAGGAGAATGCGTAATATGCTGAGAAATGCATTACAAGTCATTTGGAAACATTCAAGGCAGAGAGAGATCAATATTCATAGACTGCAAATGAATTACCTTTTGAATTTTTTTAAACAAGGAATTTCTCTATCCTCTACTGAGTCAGTTATCATACAGGCAATTACAATAGTAAAGGCACATGTAGAAAGGTCATTCCAATAGTTATTACTCTTTTGTTTGGAAACATCTTAATATTTTCCTTCCATAGTATAGAATTGGTGTCTCCAGTTTCTTTCTATCAAAATTATTAAATTAATTATTATTATTATTATTTCATTTGACCTGAGAGAGACAGAGAGAGAGAGAGAGGAAAGTGAGAAAGCAAGCCTCCAGTGTAGGACTTGTACCATGATCAGCCATGTGGAAGTTCAGCACCGTAACCATCATGCCACTTTTTTGGGCCCTTTTAATTTGTTTTTTAAACCAGTAGTTATTGATAAAGGAAGAGCATTTTGAAAACATGTCTATGAGTATGCAGGATTATGTATTCCCTGTGGCAATGGTCATATCTTACATCTAAGGAGTGCTATAGTGTCTTTACTCTGGGCAATGTCGGATTCTCTTCTTTCTTGCCAAAATAACAATCTTTTCATGTGTGCAGCGGTTGGCAAAGTAGAGGGACACAGACAATGGTACAGTGCTAGACCCAGACACACAGATTCAGAAGTGTCCCATTGCAGATCATCGGCAACCATGGACTACATTTGGGAAGAAGCAAACATTCTTAGAAATGTGTTTGATGAGAACATACTGAAAGTCAGAACCAGAGCAATTTTATTAGGTTGTTGGAAAAGTCGTAACATATTTTTCCATGCAAAAGTGCAACGTGATTTTCCCAAAAACCTAAAACTGCTGAGTCTGGTGTGTAGCTGGAGCTCCCAGAATTAGGTTCATAGCTGGAAAACCTCAACAGCAACACCAGATAATTTGGATGGGACTGAGACAACATTTCCTAGTTACGCCTAGATTTCACCCCTTTCTGTGTGAGGGGAAATTGATGTTAATGATTTCATTTAGTTTTGTGTGTGAAATTTGAAGCATATATACATTAAAATAATTTTATATTCATATGTAGTCTTCATATGTTTTCTTTTCATAATGTACCATTCTCACTTAAACCTTACTGCCTATACAGTCTTGAGTTTAAAAATAAACAAGAAAAACCCTATTGTTAAAAAAGTGTAAGTCCTGTCTAAATGAATTCCAGCTGGTTGTTTTAGTTAAGACTTGAGATTTAGAGGGGTGGGGTCAGACCTAAAAATGTCCTTATTAAGCAATGCCTGAATGTGCTTTGTGTGCCATTTGTACACATATAATTCAACAGTCCTTTAAATGCCCAATATAGTATAAAAAAATAGGTCTTGCCAGTCCTCGTCTCTCTCTTTTATGCATTTCCTACTAATTAGCAATGTGACCTTCACTTTATCAATAGCAGAATTCCTTTTTTGTTCTGTGAGTCTCTAACTTCCATGTCGTTCCTTACAGAGAAGTACAGAGAAGTCTCAACTAGCCAGGTGCTAGACCTTTCACTCACAAATATTCCTATTCCAGGCTTCAGGAATACTTTACATCTTAACCACCAGCTCCTTCCTGCCATATTGAATAAATTACATCCTATAACACCAATAATGATAATTCTATAAATAATATTTAAAAATGACAATTATGATTTAGCATTAACTAGGGAATAGCAAAGTATTATCCCTTGATAGGACTCAGTTTTTGTGTATCCAGTCACCCTTTTTTTCTTAAATTACTAGAATTATTCAAGTAAAAATTCATGAAAAGATCTTGTCCACAGCTCTACCTAACCATGGTGAGTAAATCTTCCTATTAATCCCAACACTCCAAGAAAATGGAGTATTCACAAAGAACCAGGAGAGGTGACAGGATGTCCTTGGTGAAGTTCTAGCACTAGAGTCAAATAGACATGAGTTTGAACCCAGCATCCCCACTCTTATCTAATCTGGGGTAGGTAATGTCTAAGTTGAATTTCTCCATCTATAAAATCATTGTATTAATACTCTCATTGGAGGCTCATTTGAGGACTAGAAATAATACTATTACTGAACTTAATTTGTACTTAATAAATGGCATGAAATAAATACCATTACTACGCCAGGCAATCTAGATCATAAACCTTTAGAAATGCAAGCTATTCGTCCCAATCCTACACTCAAACATTTATATAATCATTCCTCTCTTCACTAAGAAAGTGTGACAGAGTGCTTCTCATTACTTATTTTCTGACAAAACCCAGGGATAACTTGGATTTAGGATCTCGTGACCTGTAGGTGGAGTCCCGGTACCTATATCTGCAACTCTGGGGACAGTCCTAGAATGGCATCCTTCAAGGACATGACTGTGCCTCTGCTGGCCAAGCACAGAGTCCAAGGGTTGTCTGAAGACTGCTCTGAGTGTGGGGGAAATACATGGCTTGTCCAACAGGAATGGGTTCCTGGAAATACCATAGATTTCTTCTTTTCAGATTTGTACTGTTCTTAAAAGGATGATCTTTCTCGTTTCAGAGGAAAATGAGGTCCTATCTGGCCTCATTTCTGTCTCTTTTGTGCTTTTTTGTCCAGTGTACTTTCCTCCTGAGTCTAAGAATCTGTACTGTACTCTGACATTTTTGAGGACAGAGTGGAAGATGAGGGGCATGAAAGGGCAAGATGCAGAATCATAGCATTTGGGAGCTGGAGCAAAGCTTCCAAAGATCATTCTTTCTACTAGGAGCTGAGTCACCAGAAATTGCAATAAAGAATTTGTAGTCATACAAGCCTGAGTTAGAGCCAAGATTGTATACTCCTTAAGTCCTCATAATACAGTTTGCTAATCTGTAAAATAATGGAATTAAATTTATGGTGCATACCCAAATGATGTGAAAGAATGCATGGCAAATTCTTAGCCTAACTCACTATGATGAACTTATTTGTTATCTATTGGAATGGTAATAACAGCATCATAATTTTACAAATACTTTCACTAATTATACATAAAGCATTTATAATATCATTAAAATAAATAAGTATGAACCTTTCTTAGTATGGTGTTGATTTCCTGGTCTCACTAGACAGTAACACACATATTTATAATCCTTTTTAGACACATAAAGATAAAGCACCAATCCACAGGCTGGACTAAGGGGGCTTAAATATAAGTTATGCCTCTTATTTGTCCAGTTCATTAAATATATCTTTAACATACATGATTTATTATTTCATATGATCATTACAACCACTTTGCTATCTATGTAGGCCCAATTTTAGTTCCACTTTACAAATGAGAAAGCACATACACCGAGAGGTTACAACATTTGCTTGAAATCCAAAGCTAATTAAGGACAGGGATATGACTAGGCCTCTCTGACTCCCAGAGCAGTCCTCTTGTTGACAAGCAAAGAGCATGCAAGCAGCTTTTATAAATTTAGCTTTGGTCTTGATGTAGTAGCTAATCTCTAGATGCTAAATTGATTTCACTTTAAAGAAACAAAGAAATGATCATCTCTAAGACTAAAGCAAAAAAGTCTTCAGTTATTAGAGATATAAAAGGTAGAGAAAACATAAATAAAGAAAATGAGCTACAATTTATAACCCAAGTTAAACAAAAGGCTCCCCTAAATTTATGTCCTCCTGTTTCCACATAATGAGTCAATTAATCTTCTAATGCTTTATAAAAGTAAAAAACACTGCAGTAGCAGCTGGTTTTAATGTTAAAGCTAATTAGGAAAACACATTAAGGCAGGAGAAGTGCTGAAGTAACATTTAGCTCAAGAGGAAAGAAGTATGTTCATGTGTTTGTGTTATGGACAAGTATAAAGAAAGAAGATAAATTAAAGCTTGTCTTTTACATCCTGCAGTCTGATTTCCCCGAAGAAGACAGCGTGGGAGAACAGAGAAATGGATCATTGGTATAAGAAGCTGCTCTGACCAAGGCAGGCAGGAGAAGGTTAATGACTGCATTTCACAGAGCTCCGGACTGACACTTCTCACTGAATGTATGGGTTTTGCTGTGAACTGACTGAACACACCAATGATTTGGTCCCAGTCTATTATTGTCAGAAAAATGTTCCTAATTGTGGGATGATTTGCCACCTGTCACTAACTGGTGCATTTAAGCTGCATTTGTATTTTTTAATTCAGTAGACGGCATGTGCATGCTCAGAGGGAAGAGAGAGAGGAGGAAAGTGAGAAAGCATTCCCCAGGGGAATGGTCATGATTTAATCCTTTCTCCTTCATTTCTCTCTCTCTTTTCTGGATTTTGGGCATGTGGGCATGCACACACACATACCTGGTATGAGTGTTTTTTAAGCCGTTGATCTAGGACTCATATTGTGCAGTTAGTCATATGGGATCCAGTCACTGTAACCACTAACCCACCAGCTGGCCCTCAATTGCATTTTTAATAACCCTATTGAGTAGTCTTAGGAAAAACAAAAGCAAACTACTCAAAAACTGCGTTTTCATTAAAACAAATACTGTCTCTAACAGATTAAGCAAAACAGAAATTTAAAGCCAATTTTATGTTTTACTGGGGAATGGAATGAAATTATAGGGGATGGAGAAGGTAGGCATAAAAGTTTTAAGATAAAAAGAGAAAGGTCAGCTCTTAGTAACCCACAGCAGTTTCTCAAACTAATGTACACGGAAATCACCTGGGGATCTCGTTACAATAAAAATTTTTATTAAGAAATTCTGCGTTGGGGACTGAATTTTTGCATTTCTAACTAGCGTTCAAGTGATTCTGCTATTGGCCTTGAACCATTTTGAATGACAAGGCCTCTCTGTACTGCCTGCTTCAAGGTCCACATTCAAGGACAGCCATTTTTCTTTCAATCTTTCTGGCTTTCAATAGCCTAAAACAATCCCCGTAAAAAACCCTTTCCCCTAAGATAGGAATTAATTTAATCGAGGAACCTAACCTGACAGGAATTAGGGCAGCTTTCGAATTGATGTTGAAAAGAGAACACTACGTTGTAAGCTTCCAACCGCTGCTTCTGAACCGCCAGTTTCAAAGCCATCCCTGTGTGACTGGCTCCCCCTAGTGGCTGACAAGACCCACAAGTTTATTTTTCGCAGGTTACTACTAAAGGCAAGTAGGAAAACGATTTTACAAACTTTTTATACATCTTAGACACCAAGGTGTAGAATACCTGCATGGTAGCTGTAGAGCATATTATCCAATATTTGGGCAAATTTGGCTGGAGAAATTAACAGTCTATTGAGAATGGTGAAGAACCCAAGCATCTTTAGGAGAATTGTTCTCAGTATAGTACCTCAGAAGTAGTTAAGGAAAAAGATAAATAGAGTCTCACAGATAAAGAGAAAAAAATTGGACACATTTATAAATCTGCTTATTTTCAAGGTTCTAAAATCTTACATTAGGACTCAATAAATGTGAGGAGTGCCTAGAAAATGAAAAGCTCACCAAGATTTAATCTGGTGCTGATAATTTAATACTGTGTTTCTCAAAATGTGATTCTCAGGCCAGCATCATCTGAATCACCTAGGAATTTATTAGAAATGGAAGTTGCTGACACCACTGAGACTTAGTGAATCAGAAACACTGGAGGGAGGGGCTCAGTGATCTGTGTTAAATCCCCTCCCCCATTAGCGATTTTAATGCGTGCTAAAGTTTGAGTCATTAATGAAAATAAAGTCAGATCCTTAGAATTGCAGACTAATGGATTTCAGGAAACAAGCAACAAAACAAAAACAAAAAAACAAACAAAAAAACAACTCAATATAGCAAGTACCTGATAAACTTTATTTTACCTGTTTACAAATGATTAGTTCTCTGTGATATTTACAGTCGTATTGTGCTTCTGTTATTCATAATTACAATATGACAAGAGTATGAAGATTCCCCCACGCTACCCTAAATACTGGAGGTATTAGTTATTTACCAGAAAGCTGTACCTGTTCTACCGCCTGAGGATCCTGCTTCTCACCCTTGTCCACACTCATCTCCACGTCTGCAGGATTCTGAATCCTACAGGTGGCAGTTCAGGAGTTGGGAAGTGGGAGACTTCAGTCCATGAAAGAAGAGTCAGGGTGGATGCAGCAGTAAGCTGTTGACTTCATCACACCCCATGTATTGAGTCAGTACCCTCAGGGATGCAAACACGTGCATATTAAACAATCTGAAGGGAAGAAAGGCTTTGTTCTAATATGCACCTCTAATACCATTTCTGTCATCCTTACCTGCCTTTGTATCTTGGTTCCACACTTACTGCTTTCATGATCTTGGGCAAACCTCTTAACCTTTCTGAGCCCCATTTCCACACTGGAATATTAAGAATCATGATCGTGCCTATGTCATAGGGTCACTGTGAGGGCGAATGAGATAGTGCATAAAAGGGCTTAGCACAGAGCATGGTACTCCAACACTTTGATCAATTTTAATTGCTAGAAGAAATAAAAATAAAAATAAATAAATTCAACAGAGTTGGTTCACAGGGATCTATGGCATTTGACCTATGTGAAGGTCAAGTTTATCCAGAGAAGGCATTGCTATGCTAAGTTAAGGCCAGAGAAGGAAAAAAGAGGAAGTTGCCAATAGTCGGCTTGCTACTTCCTGTCATCTACCTGGCTGACTTTCACAAACACATTGTTTTTCATGGTAAAAATGAGCACCAGGCCCCTTTAAGGCTGGTCACACACTTAGCTGACACAAAGAAGAAAAGCTCATATCTTACGACTAGTAACTGGTAATTCCTGCTAATACACCTTTACTCAGTCCTGTCTGTCCTCCCCGAGACCCTCCTTTGTCGCCTTGGACCACATGAACTCCTGCCTATCAACATTCTTGTATCATGTCTCTTTTACTTGCAGAAATGTGTGACCTCAAAGCCTGCAGACATGTCTGTCACACGTCTGTCATCTGGCCCTGCTGCTCGTGGTTCTGACTACATGCCTTAGGGTCTGACCGTAGTGAGGCCAGTTCCTTTCTCTCTTTTGTAACTTCTACTGCATAGTTGTTTTTTGCCTGGCCCATAACAGCTCCCAGAAAGCTAGGTATTCCAGTTTATGAGAATATTTAACAGGTTTTTATGAATAATGTGTAATGCAATCAACAGGTTTCAGTTAAAACAGTAAGTTGGGGTATAGGCAGGATATATCCACTCACTTTTTATTGAACACACTATTTATAGTATTGTGTATAGTACAAAAATGAGTTTTTTGGTCCATTTAAAATGGATTGGGATGGGCAGATGGTGTAATGGTTATGTCGCTAGACTCCCATGTAGTCGACTGTAGCTGGAGCCCTGGACCTGGTGGCTTAAAACTTATGCCAAAACTTCAACCAGGTGCATGTGCGTGCTTGCCCAAAATCCTGAGAGGAGACTGGAGAAGGGATTGCAGCATGGTCAGATGGCCACCCCTGGGGGTGTGCTTTCTCGCTTGGGGGTGATTTCTCATTTTCTGTCTCTCTCTCTCTGGTGAGTTCACAGGCCTTACAGCAAAAACCTCTCTAATAAAAAAAGAAATAGTAAAAAGATAAAACAAACAAAAAACTCATGCCAGGTGCATGTGTGTGTGCGTGTCCAAAATTCTGAAAGGAAAAGGGAGGAGAAGGGATCATGGCATGGCCATCTCCCCTGGTGGGTGATTTCTCACTTTCTGTCCATCTCTCTGGTGAGTACACTTGCTCTATAGCAATAAATCTCTCTTAAAAAAAGTAAAAAATGGGACCAGCAGTTAGTGTAATGGCTATGTCGTTGAACTCCCATGCAGTGGACCGCAGTTCGAGTCCCGGACCCAGTTGGCTTATACTCACGCTGGGTGTGTGTGTGTGTGTGTGCCCAAGATCCTGAGAGGAGAATGGAGGAGGATTGCAGTGTGGCCATCCCCCCTGGGGGGTGATTTCTCACTTTCTGTCTCTCTGTCTCTCTGACAAGCGCACATGCCCTGTAGCAAAACAAACAAACAAACAAACAACCTCTCAAAAGAAAAAAATGGATAGATTATTGATAGTTCTCATTCAAGAGAAAATATTTGTAAAAGTTTTTTTAAAAAAATATAGTCTAGGGGCTAGCAGGTGGAGTGGTGGTTAAGGGGACTGAACTCTCACATGGCTGACCATAGTTCAAGTCCCAGACCAGGCGGCTTGCTTTCTCACTTTCCCTCTCTCTCTCTCTCTCTCTCACTCTCACTCCAAGTCTCACTCTATCCTTCTCTGGTCAAATTAAAATAAACAAATAAATAAAGTTAAAATAAAATAATTCTTTAAAAAATTAAAATTAAAAATTAAAAAAATATAGTCTAATATTTTAGTCTTTATTGTTTCAAATTGTCATCTGCATTCCAACACTACAATGGATTTTGATATGAGTTGAATAAAAATAATACTCACCTCCAAATCCAGGTCTCAGTGCAAAATCATGGTCTTTTATGTGGAGAAGTTGCTTATATTTCATGGGTCGCACTTTGGTAATGTCATTTTTCTTCATTCTAGTTTCTTGTTTGCTGTCCCTGCAAAGGGAAAACAAAATTTGAGATACATATACTTCTTGATACTTTGATTTAGTTTGACCATCTGTGCTCATTAAGAGCATGTTGTAAAATACATACATAAGAAGTTTATTATCTCAGTTTACGTTAAGCCAAAGATCTGCCAACCTTTGCTCTTTTTTAATGTAAGAGTGGAACAGATAAGACAAACCACATTTTTAAGCACCTTAAATGATAAACTAAGTTTGGATATAGTGCACAAACTGGTTATGTTTCTCAGAATGTGGTTTGTAGATTTGGAATCTCCCAATTACTTGGGTGGAGGTGATCAGTTTTAGTTTCATTGACTCCCATCCTGGTTCAACAAAATCAACACCCAGGGAAGCAAGCCCTAAGAACCTGCATTTAAACAACCTACCTAAGTGATTTTTGCAGTCAATTAAGTTGAACCATCTCTGTACTAAGACAGTGAAAAATAGAAATACTATGAAACTGTAAACTGATGACAGCATTATACAAAGATAAAGTGAGAAAAGGTTGTGATTGAAAGTAGAATCCCTGTTGAGGTTCTAGAATGTAGGGGATGGTCAAGTTTAGACCTGATATCAGGTCAAATTGCAAAGCAGGTGAAGTCTGTTTTCACCTACATTTCTCTGTGCAAAGACAGGGAAACGACCTCTTCCCAGTAAGCATCTTGACCTGAGAATAAAGCTCTACCTCTTCAGATGAGTGTCGGTCAGCCTTGCCCAGTGTTGTGTTGTATTTCTATGACAACATACAGTCTGCAGTGTGGGCTTTCAATAGAATAGGGTAGTTTCTGATCAGAATGCTGAGAAGTTTACACATGTATTCTGCCATCAGTAGGAATGGTGAAGGTGGGAGAAGGAATCTGCTTGGGATAGAAGATAATAAGTTTGATTTTTAAACATGGAAGTTGTCATATCTTATGATTAATTGAACACACAGAACTAATCCTTCCAACGGGCTAGTATTGACTAAAAACTGTCTTCCGAGGAGCTAGAATAAGATATTTATTAAAGTACAGTTACAGCCAGCTTTTATTAAATGCCTACTATATTCAAGGTCCCATGCCAGATGTTTTGTAAATATCGTCTTCTTTGGCATGCATCCAAATCATCTGGTTTGTTGGGCCACATGACCAGAGTTTCTGATTCAATGGCATTCAGATATTAGAATTTGTACTTATAACAATTTCTCAGGAGAACCACTGACCTAGAAAAGAGTACTCATTTAATAAAAACTATCTACTTTTTTAAAAAAATAGTAAAACTATGGCTATAGGTGGAAACTCATGAAAATTTTTGAATTATTTTGGTAATAATATTCTTTTAATGCAACTAAATGACATGTCACTAATATGCCTTTTCAGAAGCATACCTCTCCATAAGACTGGAAAGGTTAAATCTTAATGAACAATACCAGGAGACTGAACCTGATGTTGCTATCAAGTTTTCTTGGCAGTACTTGAAAACACATGCACCTATCTTTCCCAAGGGCTCTTCTGAGACAGTAAAATGTTCTGTACAAGGGTGCTCCAGAATGCCCATGGAAAGTATGTTTCATAACAAAACAAAACAAAACAAAAACAAAAAACTGTGCATGGGTTTCAAAGATTTATTGTATCAAAATAAACTCATACTTTAGCTCCATTTCCCACAAATTTTGCAATTTCCCTTGTTTTATCTTTTTTTTACCTTTTTTTGTACCTCATCTATTCCCCCAAAATATTTGTTCCTTATAGATCTTATTTTTCCCCCTTATATACCTTCTTAAAGAATTTTGAAATTGTATGTATTTACTCACACATTTAAAAATAGATCTCCATTTTTTACCATAAATATTGAAATTATTTAAATATTAATGATTTAAAATAAAACATACTCCTTTAAATGAATCCAATGAATCTAATTACTCACATTATACTGTTAAACATAGACGAACAGACCATTTTTAAAAAGAGAGACATTTTATATCATTCCTTGCTTTCTTGAACTTATATTTCTATTTTATTTCCTCTGTGGAATTTTATCACTCCATCATACATCTTTGCAAGAAAAATATGTGTACACATGAAATTAACTTTTCTATTTTCTAAGACCATGGCATATGGGGAAAAACAACTCATATAAATGTTGAAACTTATTAAAATTAAGGATGAAATGTTATTCAAAATGTATTACTTACTAAAGTGATAGCATATTTTCCCCCAATTATTTTATGTGTCATTAAATAGATATTACTCATTATTGGAATAAGACCAGGTTTAGCATAAATGGTATTATTATTTGAAAATTTTTACACATAAAAATGTTGAAAACCAGTATTTATGCACAAGTACATGAATTTGGAAACATTTTTATTTCAGCAGTATTTTAGCAATGTAGCTTCATTTTTAAAATTCCTTCTTACTTAATTTTCAAAATCCATATTAAGTGATCCTGCAGTAAGATATATAGCCCCTGCTAGGTGCTACTTTATAGAATGTTCATTCTACTCACTGAGGCTTATGCCTAAAGTTGGACTTGTGTTCATGGAAATGTGTATATCAGCTGTGCTTGCTATGAAAATATTTAGATTAATTAAGATGTTTAGTGACTCAATAAAATGGGGGAATAAATATAGAAAGCAAACATAGACACAAGAGACAGTGTGGGAGGAGAGTGGGAGATGGCAGAGGATAAGAGATAGGGAATCAAGGATGGGAAAAAAAAGCAAAACATACAGGAAACCGGAAATGGAAAATTATTTGTTGATGATAACATGTATGTTGATGTGCTTGATTGAGCCAATATACAGTGTATTCTGGATGGAAAATCTCACTTTGTATGCTGTAATGATGTACAGTGAATGAATGTAAATAAATACATTTAATAAAAAAATCCATATTAAGTGATCTATCAACACCTCTTGCTTTTAATGATTTATATATAACTTTATAGGTCAATTAGGTATTTTGTATAATTTTGTTGAAAGTTAAAATTAGGAAATTATCCAGTTTGGAAAGGGATATTTTATTTAGACTATAGTCATTCATTACCTTAGCAGCAACATTTATAGTGGTCTCTGTATACAGGAAATTATTACACATTGGGGCAATAACACATAATAAATTTCAGGGAGAGTGAGAGGCATGCTTTTATTTTGCCACTTGGGACAGAGCAGTCATTAAATGGGGGTGCTACAGGAGATTACAGGGGAGTTTTAGGTAGATCAATTTTAGCAAAGAGGTCATAAGGAAATTAAAGGTCCAGAAATTGATTGCTTTAAAACCATCTACGACTATGTGCCCCACAGATAGCTTGAACTTTCAGGGATATATCATAACCCAAGAGGTGCTCTAGTTTGAAGACTGCTTGATTTACAGGGGAACAAATATACACATAAAGAGGTTAGTAAAATGAAAACTGAAGTAGAACAGATGAAAGAGAGAAGAAAATGTACTTAAAAGGGGGGTTATTATGTAAGGGTGCATCAGATTTAGTTCCGAGATTTCTGGTCTTATTCCATGTTTGTATCATTTTAAAGACACTATCTTCTGCCCTCATTCCCATTCTAGAAATAATGATTTCATTTTTACCGATTACTGAATACTTTTGAATGACTTCTGTCTGAGGAGTCTTCTAGAAGTCTAAATTAAGACAAGGCCAAATGCAAACATCTCAGTTCATGGAAGAGCTGATCTTTGTCTTTTCCACAAAATATTATGAACATTGTTTGAGAAAAAGTAGGCGTAAGTCTTGGTAATAGTTACGGTTTTTCTCTTTGAGCTAGGACCTGGATCATACAAAGGGAGCATATCAGAGATTTTCAAAAACTTCACAGAAAATACGTATTTTGAAAGCTTCACATTGATTTAAAAAATTTATACTAAAATAAAATAGAACTTTGTCTTTTTTCATAAACTTTTTGAAGTCCCCTTTATTTCTATGCTTCTCCCTTTTCTCAGTGTCAGGAATTCTACTATAATTTTATGAATAAGAAAATGAGGAACTAAGGGAAAGGAAAAACTGGATTTTGAGTGGGACTAAAAGGGTCTTTGAGGAGGACACATTATTCAAAGTGTTAAAAGTACTAGGACCAGTTGAGAAAAAGCAAATATACATGACTCATTATATACCTAACACATTTTGATGCATTGCAGTTTTATAAGTGAAATGAGGAGTATATCAGAGATTTTCAAAAACTTCACAGAAAATACGTATTTTGAAAGCTTCACATTGATTTAAAAAATTTATACTAAAATAAAATAGAACTTTGTCTTTTTTCATAAACTTTTTGAAGTCCCCTTTATTTCTATGCTTCTCCCTTTTCTCAGTGTCAGGAATTCTACTATAATTTTATGAATAAGAAAATGAGGAACTAAGGGAAAGGAAAAACTGGATTTTGAGTGGGACTAAAAGGGTCTTTGAGGAGGACACATTATTCAAAGTGTTAAAAGTACTAGGACCAGTTGAGAAAAAGCAAATATACATGACTCATTATATACCTAACACATTTTGATGCATTGCAGTTTTATAAGTGAAATGAAAAAAAAAAAAAGCGAAAGAAAGCCCTCATTCTAATTGAGTCACACTCAGCTGCTTTACAAAACTGCTGTCTTGAGAGCTTGGAGGCTTCAACAGTCAGCCCTCTGTATCTGAGGGTTCCACAACTGTGGAAGTTCTGTGCCCATGGGTTCAACCAAGCACGGGTAGAAAATGTTAAAGAAAAGGCAATGTGTCTGTACTGGATATGTACAGGAAATTTTTCCCCTTGTCATTTGTCCCTAAACAATATAGTATAATAGTTATTTGCATAGCATTTACATTGCATTAGGTATTATAATAATCTAGAGATGATGATGTAAAGTATATGAGAGGATGTATGTAGATTATATGCAAATACTATGTATTTTATATAAAGGACTCAAGCACCCATATTTTTATATCTGTGGAAAACAAATCCCTTGTGGACACCAATGGAATACTGAATATTTGACTAGTTAACAAGAGTCATAACTTGAAAACAACGAGGCATGACATCAATAAATTATCCAATGGAGAGAATAATTAATATGCCTATTTAAAAATATTTTATTTTTGAAGGCTTACAGGGAGATACCAGTTAAAACCATAACTACCGTTTTACATATATTAAATAAACGACAAAAACGTTAGTTCTCCATGCTGGTAAGTATATGATAAAACAGGAATATTTAAGTTTTGCAGGTGGGAGTTGAAATATTGATAAATTCTTTTAGAAATTCATCTCATGATTTATAAAGATATTTAATATGCTTTGACTCAGTAATTCATTTTCAGGAAAAATGATTTTTATTGGTAAGGGAAAAACTACGTGCATGAAAATATTTATTGCTGTTTCTTTTAACAGTGCAAACTTGAAAAAATGTTCGACAACAAAGGTAGTAATTTTCATCTTTTAATTCAAATGAATAAAACAGAGTAATCAAAAAGTGTTATGATGTCTATGAAGCAATTTAGAAAGTACTTAACTTAAGAAAACATAATTCCTATGTTATAATTTTAATATGAAAACATGAAAAAAGCTGTAGGTATGTGAATAAGGATTATAAGTGAACTTGGAAAAGAGAAAACAATTGAAATTCTCAGACTTTTTTCTCCCTTGAAAAAATCCACTATGTTTACTGTGCTATTGTATAATAAATCCATTATCAATTATCTAGACCCAACAACTTTGCCTTCTAGAATCTTTTGCAAATAAGATCTGTTTACTGCTCTCCCACTTTATCATTCTATCCTGTTTGTTGTTTTAGAAACAATTTGCTGTTATCACAGTCAATTTCCCATGCAAGCTTTATTATGAACCGGTCACACAGGAGACCAACTGATGCTCCCAAATAATGTAGGGAACATTTAAAGATGTTTTTATAGGCTTACTGTTTTTCTTTAGAAAAATACAAAATGAAGGAAAAAAAACCCCAAAAAACCCCCCCAAAAACCCCAAAAAACAAACAAAAAAACTCTCTTAGGCTATGTAGAAGCAAATACAAAGAATAAAATAAAGTAGTGGGTGAATCAATAAATCTGATTTTTGATCACTAAGAAAACCTTCATAATTGTGGATCTAATGTTTAGTTCCAGAATCCTAATGCTCTTGTGACATCTTTTAATTCAAATTAATAAAATAGAGTCATCAAAAAGTGTTATGATGTCTATGAAGCTACTTAGAAAGTGCTTAACTTAAGAAAACATAATTCCTATGTTATAATTTTAAATATGAAAATATGTAGGTATGTGAATAAGGATTATAAGTGAACTTAGAAAAGAGAAAACATAATTGAAATTCTCAGACTTTTTTCATTAGATGGAAGGACTATTGAGGCTTTGACAGAGCTGTTCCTGAACTCTGGGAATACATACCTGACTTTGGCCACCCTGTCTCTTATGGAGGAGAAACCTGTGCAAGTGAATTTTCTGCGGAAGAACCAGTCAGGGAGAATACCCACCCAAGACACAAGAGTTCCCGCATTGTAACTGGGTCTCTGTCAGATCATGAATTTAGTGATGAAGCTTCAGTATATTCATCTAAGAAACGAGCTTCAAATTGGGCCAGATCATGAGCTGGTTTGCAGACATTTTTTTTGGATTAACCACTATTGTTTTAAATGAGAAAATTTTGCAGGAAAAACAGAATTTTCTGCTTCTTTTGAAAACAGAGAATCTGGCCTCACTGGGCTCAAGTTTTCTCATAATAAGAGGAGTCTGGACCTGACCAGGCACTTCCCCATAGACACTTACCCTGTCACTGGAGTCTCTGCCACTTCCCGTGTCTTATAGTGGTACTTGAATGAACAATTCCTAAGGCTCCCCAGACTTTTACATTATGTTCAGGGATACGCTGATAAGTATTTAATAAGTGGCTTTCCAGGGAGAAGAATAAAAGCCCTGAATGTAATGTTTGCTGATTTTCACGGTGTAACACTTCTATCACAGTCTGTTTCAAGCTACTAACATCACAGAGATGCACGTAGCTGCCCGTAGAGTACAATGCAGTATGGTGTTGTGTAGTAGCCTAGTATTTATACTGTGCAGACATGATACACATAAATAACACAAGAGCAATAGATAATACTAAAATGTACAAAATAATTAAAAAGTCATGAATTGTGTTTATCACTTGTGTTTTAAAATAATGTATTTAACTCTATATTTATATAATTTGATGTTTAATAATGTTTGTTTTTAACACTCAGCTCAGAATTTTCCTAAACATTTAACAATTGGCTCTTGCAAGTCTCTTTGAGCAGCTGATTATTCTTAAGGCCTGCATCAGTGTGATGTTCCTATAGCATGATCGGCCCCCAAACCAGCACTTGCAATAAAGGTCACTGAATACATGATTGAAAGAATGAATAAGTATTCGATGAATCCATATTCCTAATCCTCTTTGCATCACCAGGGAACCAAAAATTTTCCCTAGGTTAGAGAGGGACACTTTCACCTGCATGAACTCAATTTGTTTTCGTATCTTCTCACTTTGCTTTTAAGAAACAAAGAGGATCTTTAGATTGAAAAAAACTTAAAAATATCTTTGGACTAGAAAAAAGGAAACCTTTGGATAAAAATTGAGATTATATTCTTAATAAAAATAGTTAATTGTGAAGCATTTCAGGGTCTAATTTATAAAATGGGGCTCAAAATAATGCATATAAATGCAAAATAATGTATATAAATCCACTTCATGATTTTCAAAGAAAGACCATGTTTTCCTTTCATGTTCACTCTATTAGTTCACTTGAAAGAGTGGATTACTAATTTATTCATTATTTATTTATTTTTTATTGATAATCAGCTTGGATGTAGTGAAGAGAACGCTTTAGTATCTATTCACACAGCTATGTGGAAGAATTCGGCGCATACTCCAGAGACTACTCTATACATTAATTTCTGTATTTTTGTCAAATGCCTTAACATCTGCATGAAAGAGCACCAAGTGACAGCTCAGAAATTGGCTGGTTGAATTACTCTATTCATTTAAGAAGGACGGCTGTGTTTCATTTAAGTGGCTCCTTCTGAACCAGTGTAATGGTTTACTCAATCCCTGGTGCCCTAGAGGATTTTCCTTTGAAGAACAAAAGAAGCAGATATAAATTTTAATGAATCCTATTCTAGCCTTGGCCACAAAGAGGCACCTCACTTAGGAATATAGAGAAGTGAAAACAAACATACTCAGCCTCACATGGCAGAAACCGTAGGGTGTCCTCTGGGGGAAATCTGACTTTCTAGTTTCATACATTTTTCTGTTCTTTTGAATAGGTTCCAAATATAAGGGATTTTACATAAGAAAATAATTACCATCCTCACCACAAAGAATCAGTGTTCTCCTCGTGCCCTTTAAATGTCACCTAAAAAGTACACATGGTAGTTGTTTTCTGCAGAAACTCTGTCACGGATAATGGGCTGGTAGAATAGGTTAGCTCTCATGACAATGTCTCTCATCTGTACGACCACCAAACAGAGTAAAAAAATCTCTGATTATTTAGTGATATTTTAAGCAATCTCTATTTTAAAATTTAGATAACCCGTATTGCATGAATTTATAAACAATTTGAAAAAATATATAGTCTGGTGGTATAGCCTCACATATCTCAAACATTTCCCAAACATTTCCTTGGCTAGTTGCCTTAAAGAAGACCTATAAAGTGGTTAAACCAAGTAAGAATTCATACTATGTCATGTCTGGGATCTGAGAGTAGAAACATGAAAGGGCTGGAGGTAGTCCTTGGTTTTAACCACAGAGTAGGATTAAAAATAAGGTAACCATCGCCGCCCCCACCCCCAAACACACACACACACACCCCTTCTGGTTTTGGTCATTAAACCTGAAGCTACAGAAGGTGCTTATTAAAATTGGATGTTTACTTTCCTGATCTTATGGCAAAATGCTTATTCATGATGAGAAGGCAATTGGGCTGAAACATCTGTCACCCCACTGACTGCTAGAGTTGACTGGATGATATTGCTCATCTTCATTTCTCAATTTTTCTAAGACTTTTTGGAAATCCATGAAAAGGGAAGATTTTCCCTAAGACATTCTTTGGTTATTTTAGGTATATGGGAGTAGGGAGAGCAATCATTGCAGTTTGCCTAGGACTGATGGATTCCTAGCCACATTTTTACTCAAATGTGTATAGTTCCAAGTAAATAGTCCCAAGTAAGTTAAGATGAGCTGCTTGCTCTATGATGAGAGCTTACTAACACATACGGACATGGTCTTGATTACTAATGGGAAGATAGTGATTATATTATATGCTTTCATTCAGGATGATATTTCAAATATGTGAAAACTATTTTGAAATAGAACAAATAGTTTTAATGCCTTTTGATACTATCTCATGATATATGAAACTATAGGCCAGCACAAATCCTCAACATTAAAAACAAAGTTGGTGCTCAGACTAATTTCTACTATAAAAATCTGAAGAAACATTAAACAAGTGTCTAATGTATTATTAATAAGTCTATTACTCATTGAAAAAATGCATTTCTCAAAAAAGGAATCCTACATAAACCTTTCACTTTTTTTTCCTCTAAAAAGAAGCATAAATATGGATACAAATGCCATCAGCATTTGGAGTCTACACTTCAGTTGTCAACCAGAGGTGATTTATTTTGGTGAGTGAATGCTATTTCTAGAAACAGACCCTGCTGCTAGAATATTTTACTATTAAAGATATGTTTGTAACTTTTTAGTAGTCTGAGGTGAGAGAAACTGAGCAAAAAGGGCATAGACTATATCAAGGGTATCTTACCGGGTTTGTCTCATTGAAGAGGAGCAGCGTTGTTGCGGCTTCTTGATATTAGAAGCAGCAAAAGCATTTAGCATCAACGTGATCCAGATGTAGGTGAAGAACAGCTGGAAAGTCAGGACCATCTCTTCTAAAAGAAAGGAATGCAGGTGGATGCAACGAATGCTGTTAGCCAGACTTCTTCATGTGCCTTCTTAAAAACAGAATGCCAGGTAAAATGGTACTACAGGGAAAAAAAGATACATTTCCTTCGATGTTATCTTTTGTTTTAGTAGATTAAATACATTCACATCTATTTAATCAGGTAAATGTCTTTCTGGACCATCCACAATTTAAAGAAAAGAGCAGATATTTTTTTCTTTTCATTTTCAGTTTACATCCTTTTGTCCCTCTTTCCAGGGAAGGTTCTTAGTGAGATGCTTGATCTCCTACTCAATAAACTCAGCGACAGTTCTCATCCGACAAAGAAGTGAGGCTAGGCATTAATCCTCTTACTCCAATGCAATATCATTTAAATATATTTAATGACTCCGCAAATTAATATGCTTAATGAGAAAAAAGATGATTAGTCTAGCCTTAATTATACATATGAAGATCTTTTCCTTTATACCACAGTTCATTTTTATACAGGAAGGAATCTTCCCCTAACATACACTGGCTTCTGTCATAGCACAAGCAAAAAATAAAATAAAAAAAGAAGTTTTTAAATGTAATTTATTTCTTCCATGAAAAAAGAGACAGAGAAAGAGACAGAAAGACAACACTCCCAATAGGGCTGTGATCTACCCCTAGCCTCGGTGGATCCTGGGTCATAGGCGTACATGTACCCGATATACTCAGGGAACTCTTTGAATGAAAACATAGAGCCACCCCATGTGGGTCAGCTTCACAGAGCTTTTCAAGGCCATGCTGCTATTTGGACCCTAAAAATTAAATGATTATTCTCATCAGATAAATAATATTTTAAGATGGTTTATTGTAATGATAACAAACGTATTCAAAAGTACAGTAAGCAACTCTACTAAATAAAAATGAGATTAGTTATGAGCTATCACTATCAAATTATAGCCACACACTCTCCTAAAGGTCCTTTGTATACATAGAATAGAAATATTCCCTCTATGTATGCAAAGTGCTGGTAATAGACATGCTAGTGAAAAAAAAAAATTCTCCAACTGGAATATCACAAATTGAGCAAAACAGCAATAGCTGACCTGTTTACTAATACTTAAGAAGAATCCCATTTTCAGCCAAAAAACATGAAAAAACCTTCAAGGTCTTTTATCATAAGGAAAATGTTTGACTTAACCCCAGTCAGAATTGGTGTGATTAATAAAAAAAAAAAACAAAGAACAAAGAATGAAAAGTACTGATGAAGTTCTGGTAAAAAGAGAACCCTTCTGCACTGTTGGTGGGAATGTAAATTACTATAGCAACTGTGGAAAACAGCATGGAGGTGCCTCAAAATTCTACAGATAGAACTAGTGTAAGACCAAGTAATCCCACTCCTTTGTATTTACCCAAAGCACAGGAAAACAATCAGGAAGACACTTACACATCCATGTTTATTACAGCACTATTCCTAGTTGCAAAGTTGTTAAGATGTGCCTCAAAACTGGTGAGTGGATTGAAAAATGTAGCACATATACACTATGGAATATTACTCAGCCATGAAGAACAGTCAGAAACTGTCATTTGATAAAAATGGAATGAATACAGAAGATTTAATGCCAAGTGAAATAAGCTAGCCTATGAAAGGCAAACATTGATCCCCACTCAATATAAACTGAGTGGCTGCACCCTGTGACAGAAAAATTCAATGACATAACAGAGCAAGGTGCAGATTCCAGAGATTATATGGGGAGGGAGAAGATGGTGGGGAATGGGAGGGGCTCTGGAAAAAGGTTTTAACAGACACAAAAATGTAAGGTTATTTGTTGAAAATGATGTATATGTTAATGTTTTGTACTTGATTACACACACTGTATGTATGCTTTGAAAAACCATATTATATGTCATGATGCTGTACAATTATTAAATGCAAATAAAAGTTATAAAATAAAATTGGAAAAATTAGAGTGCCATTTTCTTCCCTAAACCATAGTACTTTGAAGAAAATCTTTAAATTTCCTTATTTATTTATTTATTTATTTATTTATTTATTTTGTGTTTCCAAGTGCGATGGTCATGTACTATCTGGCCTCATTCCACAGTGAGAGAGACAGAGAGAGGGAAACTGAGAACCCCCCCACCCCCATAGGAGATGACCACACAGCAATCCCTTCTCTTCCATCCTCCTTTTGGGATTTTGGGCATTGCGCACATGTGCCTGGCATGATTCTCAAGCCACCAGGTGCAGGACTTGAACAATGATTAGTGATGCAAGAGTCCAGCATCTTAACCACCATGTTACTGGATGGCTCCTTATTTCCTTAAATTGGTTGGTGACCTTGATAGCTTGATCCTGTGCCATTGCTATATCACATTTATCTATTTTGAATTGGGTTATATTTTCTCTTAGTCCATGCATTAAAATCTGCTCCCATGGGGTCCAGCTGGTGGTGTGGGGATGAGGTGCTGGATTCCCACTTGGCTGATCACAGCTATAGTTCTCAGCTTGGTGGCTTGAAAATCACACTGGGCATATGTGCATGCGCGTCCAAAATCCTGAGAGGAGAATGGAGGAGAAGGGATTGCAGCATGACCATTTCCCCAGGGGATGATTTCTCACTTTGTCTTTCTTTGTTTCTCTCAGGTGAGTGCACCCATTGTATGGCAAAAACCTAAAAAAAAACCAAAAAAAAACCAAAAAAGAACCTCCTATGAATCTTAGACATGGCTTTATTCTTTAAAATATATTTAAGGGATCAGCAGTTGGTGTAATTGCTATGTCGCTGGACTCCCATGTAGTCAATCGTGGTTCGAGTCTAGGACCTGGTGGCTTAAACTCATGCTGGGCGTGTGTATGTGAGTGCCCAAGAGCCCGTGAGGAGAATGGAGGAGGAGGGATTGTGGCATGGCCATCTCCCCTGGGGGGTAATTTCTCGCTTTCTGTCTCTCTGTCTTTCTGGTGAATGCATGGACTCTATAGCAAAAACCTCTCAAAAATATATTTAAAAATATTAAAAATATATGGAATAACATAATCAATTCTTACCTCTTATCCTTTAGTGTTTATCATTTCATGTAGTTATACTATTATTATATGTATATGTACTCATAAATAATGTACAAGATTTTTGCATGCTTCAAAGACGTTATATAAATAAATTTAAATAAAAGTACAAATAAACATATAAAAGTACAATACTTCATAGTACTACAACCTACTTTTTCTTTCAACATTATGCTTACAGATTTATTACGTTGTAGATATAACTCTAGTTAATTCATTATATGTTATTTTGAAGTGGATAAATGATATTTTATCTCTTATTTTTTTCTTGGTGGATATTGGTACTTTTTTTAAATTATAAACAATCTTGCAATTAATTCTTGTGAATATTTTCTTGTGCACATCTATAACAGCTTCTTTAGGGTAAGTACCTAGAAGTAAAGCTGCGAGTCTGAACACGTTTTACATCTTCAAGTTTACTGGATGCTACCATATTGCTCATGAAAGTGGTTGTTCTAATTTACAGCACCACTGTCAGTGAACATGCTTTCATTTCTTAAAATCTTTTCCAACGTTGGTGTTATCAGGATTTTAAATGTTAATCCAATGGGATTTGTAGTTTTAGTTTTAATTTTATTACCGTGGACTCACAGTTCCCATTACATTATACGCCAAAAGTGCTCTTGTCCTTTAGCAACTGGAGAATGTTAGTTCAGTGGTCTGTTCTCAGTTCCTTTCTTGCTCAGTCTTTTGGAACCACTGATACCTCTGATCTCTCCCTTCTACTCATAGTGCTTTTGTCATCTGTCTTCTGGATATCCTACTACCTTATTCTCTTCCTACTTCTCTGACCATTATTCCTCAGTTTTATCACCTGATTCTCCCTCTTCTAAGGCCTCCTAATGTTGGAGTGGCCTAAACTCAGTTCTTGATACGGTCTTTTCTGTCAAACACTTAGTGATCTCACCCAGTCGTCAGGCTTCAAATACCAAAAGTAAAGTTTCGTTTAGGCAGGAGGAATAAGTTTTTGAGATATATTATACACGATAGTAACCATAGTTAATAGTTATATATATTTCATATTTGTTAAAGAAATAAATTTTAAATATTATGACTACAAATGATAAATATGAGAGGTCTTCATAAGTTTATAGAAAATGTATATTATAAAAAATTATGCATAGGTTTCAAAATTTGTTTTGCACCAAAATTAACTTGTATTTTAATTCATGTTAATTTACAAAACCTTTGAAGCCCTTTAATATGTAAAATGATGGCTATTTTAATAGACTTGATATAATCATTCCATACCCTATACACATGTCAAAACATCACACTGTACCCCATAAATATATACAATTATTATTTGTCAATTAAACATACAAAATTTAAAAAAATGCTAAAAAAATTACATCTTAAACAAAACAGAAAGAGCTGACTTAAAGGCACAATATTAGCGTACTGATTAAATGATGCTGGGTCCATGTGGGAGACTGCTAGTTTGGTTCCCTGGTTGACCTGGGCAAGCTGGGTCTGTGTACCGATATTCCTGACTGGCTGGGAGGGATAGGAGGTGGGCGAATTATGGCATGGGATCCTGTTAACAGTGCTTATTTCTCTCTCTGTCTCTCACTCTCATAAAAGGAAGAACTAAACTTCAAAGAAACAAAACAAAACCACATGTCTTCCAAACTCTCCCAAATGTATATTATGAGTTCAGCCTTCCCCCCACCCCCAATTCCAACTTATTCATAGCGATATTCATGTCCTTTCTTGACTCTTCTCTTTCTTTCTAAAAATTAACATTAATTAATTATTATTAGAGAGTAAATGCTCTTACCAGAAAGCAGAGGAGCACCCCTCAAAGGTGCATGGTTACACTGCAATAATTTTCCCCCTATTTCTCCGTCCCATCAAGATTTGGGGCACACACACACACACACACACACACACACACACACACGCCTAACATGTTTTTCAGGCCACTGGGGCTGTGATTTGAATTGTGATTGACCGTGTGGGATTTGACTCCCAATGCACTATGCTTAACTGCTGAGCTGTGAAGCAGCCTGTGATTTCTC